ACCGGAGATAGTGATCGGACTGATCGGTACTACTGTGGCTTGTACGCCACCAACCTGGCACACATTCAAGAATTGCGTATCGCCCAATCATTTGTCTAATTGAGCAAAATCATTGTTGTTCGCAAAATTACATCCATCGCCATGGTTATCGGCAAAATTTACCCTTAATAACATGGTTAGACATAGGATCCAGTGGCTAGATTAAAATTCCAAAAAAAGCGCAAAAAAGCCCGCGGGCCGGGCCGTCCCGGAGCCTCATTACACAACATGTACGTACAGTACATGGTTCAAATTCGGAATTTTTCACAAAGATACACGGGAATTAATCGGGTAATTCGCCTTAGACACCGCAAATGGTTAAAGTCATTCCTAAAATATCTTGTTGGATTTGGATATTCACGAACAATTTCGAATTATCTAGATTTCTACAATTAGAAGGTGCTCAAATGCCAATATTTTTCACGACAAATACAAACTACGTAATAAAAGATCGACAAAATAAACCTGGCACAGAATTTATTACAACTCTGTGTTAATACTAATCTAATGTTGGCAACCTACTTCAGTATCCTATATTTATATTCATAATATTTTGCTTTAATGTTAGCTAAAATTAATTTTAAAGCTGGCCTGCTTTATATATTTGTAACTTACAGAAGGTTAAATAACTTGCAATATAATTATATTATCTTAATAGAAAAAAACTGTAAATAAAAATTTATTTTCTAAAGAATTGTATGTAATATTGGTTATTACTTATTAATAAGTTATAGGATTAATCAAAATAAAATTATTTATTAATTAATAAAATAAAATTTTATTAATATTTTTTTAAAAAATATCTACTATATAATTTATTATATACAGTATATAATTTACTAGTAATTTTTATGTAATTTATATAGTAAAAAAATTAAATTATCTAATTGTTAAGTTTGATTTTTTAATAATTAAATAATTCAATTTGGTTCAAATTTTAACTATATACTGTATTTATTATATACTGTATACTTGCATAATCCAAAGCATATTGGTTCAAAATGTTTAAAGTATATTTATTTTCTAAAACAATTTTTTTTAAAAAAAAGATCAAAAATTATACATGATTTTTAAAATAAACTTACATAGAGATTGAACCCGACCCGTTTACAAAATTATTACCGGTTACAAATCGGGTCATTTCTAATAATCCGAGTAACCCGGGTGATCGGTTGGCCCGGTTTCATGTAAGAGTTAACAATCTAATATGAACATTTTCTACAGGAGGATCACTAAAATTCTGGGTCGGAATGCATTGGGACTGGGCTGGCATTAAGCAATGTTAGCCAACATAGTCTATAGTTATCAGCTGGGCATTTTTACTTAATGAAAAGACTATGACTTCATCTTGGGCTAGAGACTGGACTCGAGTCAACTCGTAGCTTAAAAAACATAATCTTAACTCGAATTAACTCGAGTCAGTCTAGTCTCTATCTTGGGCAAAATTAACCAATTCCGGCACATCCGATCAGGATTCTGATGCATTCCGACTCAGAGTTTTGGTGACCCCCCTGTATGAGTTATACTGAACTATTAAAGTTTAGGTGCTTAAATCGTCTACTTTTAATAGATAATTCAAGTATCATTTCACAGCATGGATTTGGTGTTATCAAATCCGGGTTTTAGAAATATCTTTTCTATATCTCTTGCTGGTTTGCCAATGGCTTTACCAACAGTATTATTTCTTCGATATTTATTATATGTATATATATATAATTGTTTTTTTTACTCGCGTCAACTTAGTCAATAACGATAATTCATTTCTTATTTAATTTATTCTATTTCACGTTGATCTAATTGTCCAGAGCGTAGCGGAAGATTTAAAAATAGATAAGTAAAGACCGATCATCTGACAACTACCTGCATATTCGTGTAACTTATCCACTCCGGACGATGCTGCGGTGGTTAAGACTAAATTCTTGATTTAATGCGATAAAAATTTCAATATTTGCCGATTTCTGTTTTCTGTGATGTCATTTTTTAATTTCTGTGATTTAATGCGACAAAATTTTTTCTGAAGCATATAATCCCGTAACTTCCTGACAAACGTGCTCGTAATTTACGTTGATTTATTGTCTTCTTTTCCCGGTGCCGACCTAGATTTGTTGTGATCAATGCTGCGATATTTTAGAATTCTGTTGCGATATTTTAAATTCTGTGATATTCTGCGCTATTTTTTTTGGAATTCTATGATATTCTGCGGTGACTAAGGGCGATTTCTGTGGTTGGCTGTGTTTCAAGAGAAATTCTGCTGTTTTCTGTGATCACAGAAATTATGTTCCTGTTCCGGACATCTAACAGCATCTGTTTTCCTAGTAGATAGGTACCAATCGGAGTATTGGGAACTTCAAAATTGAAAAAATCTATTTTAGTAAAATATGTTACATATTTTTTTTTTGAAATAAACTATTTATAAATTTTATTTTCAAATTAAGTTCCAAATATACTTATTTATATGATAAGTTTTGTTATTAATATGATTTAAACTATACATAGTAGCTAATATATGCCCAGATGAATCTAAAATTTATTACATGAAATGAGAGTCTCATACGCTCCTCTTTGATTTACTTACTTGACCATTTATAATTACAAATTCGATTTTTTAAGCTCCGAAATACTGTAGTTAACTTTGATCTTACTACTTTGATCTTATTGTATTTCATTACGAAATGCACTATTCTGAAACCCTTAAATAGAAATATTTAAGCTGTTCACTTTTTACTTGTTTTTGATTTAGTTTGTCATCTGTATTACCATATTTCTCATTTATTTCTATAACTATCATTTATCAATCAAATTAGCTACTTAAATCTCATTTATTTGCGTGTATTTAGCCTGATAATTTATAGTTCCAAGTACTAGAGGTATGCTACTCTAATTTCTTATACAGTTTATTAAGTCTAATATAACGATCTTATACTTAGTATCTTGATTTTTGCTGATCTGGGTCACCCAGGTAGCAGTAGTTATGACCGATATGTATACGGGTCACTCACGTGACTCTTACATGGGTACAATATCTAAAATTACAATTACGGTGTATTAATAGATAGGATTTAGGCTTTTGTATTAAATTTAGACACTTTTTAAAAACTTGTAAGAAATCCAAAAAAATTAGAAAGTTTAATT